TCACACACACACGTGATCATGTGACCAGATAGTGTGTGTCTGTGTGTGTGTGTGTGTGTGTGTGTGTGTGTTGATATCTTAAGAAAATATATATATGTTATGGTTTTCCTTGTAGCCAATCACTACAAGCGGTTTAACTTCTCTGCTTTTCATTTCAACACTTTACTAAACCATTGAATACTTTTAACCAAGTGTTTCAATCATTCATGACTGGAAACTAGCTCTGTATCCATTACTTTTGACCATTTATCTATAACTTTTAGCTGAATATGTCAATGTTTTAGTCATTACTTGATATGTCAAAGTGTTTCTAATACTGTTCACTTACAATTTCAACCGTTTATGCTATAAATCTTCTTGCTTGCTAATCACAGTAGTGTTGTAACACTTCACAACACACAGGTGTTACAGCCGCTGTTGACGTACATTTGGATATTTACTCTAATCAAATATTATTATTTTTCCTTGAGCTGTTGAGCTGCTGTACATGTGACTAGTTTCTACTTCACTCAAACATGTGTTGAGACCAAGCACTCCCCCCCCCACACGCTAACGCGAACACCCCACACACACACACACACACACACACACACACACACACACACACACACACACACACACACACACACACACACACACACACACACACACACACACACACACACACACACACACACACACACACACACACACACACACACACACACACACACACACACACACACACACACACACACACACACACACACACACACCACACACACACACACCACACACACACACACACACACACACACACACACACACACACACACACACACACACACACACACACACACACACACACACACACACACACACACACACACACACACACACACACACACACACACACACACACACACACACACACACACACACACACACACACACACACACACACACACACACACGACCTGTGTGGGGTCATGTGACAGAGGGCTCAGAGCTGATTTGGCCCCCTGACAGGGACTATAGTTTTCATTAATTACTAAAATACCTTCACACCCAACACTAGGAGGCACTCAGGGACACGGACGTCCACTCTTAGACCAAACCCTATCATGCATTGATAATGGAAGTATAACAACTATGCGTGAGTCAAATCGCAAAAGAGTTGTGCAGAGGTAGAGAAAAGGGTTAAGAAACTGTCTCATCAGGGTGAGTGAGAGTGTGTGTGTGTGTGTGTGTGTGTGTGTGTGTGTGTGTGATGGTAAATGATGGCTGTATTGATCTCCCATGCTCTTTTATGGCCCTGTCATGTCAGTTTAGCACCTCTGCAACACTGGCTTTACAGCGGCATCAATACTGAGCTGTGGCTCTCAGCAGAAGAGAGGAAAGAGACAGAAGGAGGGAGGAGATGAGAGGAGAGGAGAGGAGGAGGAATAAATACAAAGGAGGAAACACACACGGCTACATCAAGGGGAAGACCACTCTGACCTTATGAAGGAAGACACAAAGTTATCTAACTATTCACCACTTCATTAAGGAGACACGTTGCTATACTGTGAGTCAAACAAGCAGCAGGAGTAGTTTCTCTGTGATGGAAATGTCTGGAGCAATAGAGTCGAAACATAGTGAGACACAGGGAGAGCTGGAGCTTGATGGCAAACAGCTGATGGTTTATTATGGAGTTACGGCCGGAGAATTGATAAGACATGTGCTGCAGACAGGAGGTGATACAGTTCTGAAGATCTCTTCTGTAGTCAGAGGTTTGAACCAGTTCAGAGAGTATAATCCACATTCTTCATTAACAAGACTAAACAAACAGGGCACTAAATGTGACTGAACCTGTCGTCCATGGCCCAAGAATGTACCCCAGTGGGACGGAACGCTCTGGGGGGCCAAACGGCTCAGTGTGTACGTCCTATACGATCATTTCCTGATAACGATGAAGCCATAGCCCCGCCTCTCCCCACCTCTACTGCTACTGCTACTGACCATGCTACTGCTACTGACCATGATACTGCTACTGCTACTGACCATGCTACTGCTACAGACCATGCTACTGCTACTGCTACAGACCATGCTACTGCTACTGACCATGATACTGCTACTGCTACTGACCATGCTACTGCTACTGGTCTGCTACTGCTACTGCTACTGATCATGCTACTGCTACTGCTACAGACCATGCTACTGCTACAGACCATGCTACTGCTACTACTACAGACCATGCTACTGCTACTGCTACTGACCATGCTACTGCTACTGACCATGCTACTGCTACTGCTACTGACCATGCTACTGCTACTGCTACAGACCATGCTACTGCTACTGACCATGCTACTGCTACTGCTACAGACCATGCTAGTGCTACTGACCATGCTACTGCTACTGACCATGCTAGTGCTACTGCTACAGACCATGCTATTGCTACTGCTACTGACCATGCTACTGCTACAGACCATGCTACTGCTACTGCTACAGACCATGCTACTGCTACTGCTACTGACCATGCTACTGCTACTGCTACTGACCATGCTACTGCTACTGCTACTGACCATGCTACTGCTACTGCTACAGACCATGTTAGTGCTACTGCTACAGACCATGCTACTGCTACTGACCATGCTACTGCTACTGCTACAGACCATGCTAGTGCTACTGCTACTGACCATGCTACTGCTACTGCTACTGACCATGCTAGTGCTACTGCTACAGACCATGCTACTGCTACTGCTACTGACCATGCTACTGCTACTGACCATGCTACTGCTACAGACCATGCTAGTGCTACTGCTACTGACCATGCTACTGCTACTGACCATGCTAGTGCTACTGATCATGCTAGTGCTACTGCTACTGACCATGCTACTGCTACTGACCATGCTACTGCTACAGACCATGCTAGTGCTACTGCTACTGACCATGCTACTGCTACTGACCATGCTACTGCTACTGACCATGCTACTGCTACTGCTACTGACCATGCTACTGCTACTGCTACTGACCATGCTAGTGCTACTGCTACAGACCATGCTACTGCTACTGCTACTGACCATGCTACTGCTACTGACCATGCTAGTGCTACTGCTACAGACCATGCTACTGCTACTGCTACAGACCATGCTAGTGCTACTGCTACAGACCATGCTACTGCTACTGCTACAGACCATGATACAGATGTTAGTGCAAAATCTACAGCTCCTCTACCACAACCATCAGCAACAAGTGGACATGGAGAACTACATGAACTACATGTTGCTAAATCCACCGCGGAGAATAAACAGAAGGGCAACCAGGCAACCATGGCAAACATACTCGGGGGGTCTTATTCGCTGCTTTTGGTGTATTTTGTGGCGGAAGTACAGCGCCACTTACAGGCCCGGCATATGTACTACAGCGTCTCCAGCGGGTCGAGCGGTCTCGTGTGAAGGGACACGTTTATTGAGCCGTATCCGTGTGGACGGAAGACTTTTTTGATATCGAATTCGGTTCGTTTGCGTTCCGTTTGCGTTCCCGTGTAAATGGGGCCTAAGAGGGATAGCAGCAACACCCCAAGACCGTAGACCTATGCCATGGGAAAAGAGAATGTGATGGACTGGGTTAAAGGTTAGATACCAAAACAAAAGATTCCCCAACAATTCCCATATGTTCTGAAACGTTTTTGCCAAGATTCTGGGTTTTACACTGACGTAGCGTTGCAGATCATTTGTAGTTCCATAATATATGAATTTGCAAATGAACGTTTGGGAAATAAAATGACAAAAAAAGTCTTGTTGTATATAAAACATAAAAGCAAGAAATATCTATATTCTACTATCAGCAGACAAACCTTGCGATTCAGCATTTATATTTAATGTATTTTATACAACACTGTATACATGTTGTGTATATATATATATATATATATATATATATATATATATATATATATATATATATATATATATATATATATATATATATATATATATATATATCACAATATATTGTAGTATAATATGCAAATGTGTATGTAAATCTCTTTATTTTATGTTTTTTCTTCAAATTCTTACTTTTACTTCCAAGACCAAGACATCACATGTAGAAGAAGCTACATGCTAACATTATGCTAAATGGTTGCAGTTGTAAAAAGGGCACATATATATCTCCTAAAATAAGGTGTGTGCCCTCATGGAGAGGCAATAACAAGTGGATAAAGTGTGTGAACGTAATGTACTGTATGTGAGGAAAACAGGCTTGGAAAGAGGCACATTGGGAGTAGTGACGTCTCCATTATTTTGTCCACATTGATGTGTGCGTGCGGCTGTTGTTCAGATTGATTAACGGACACCTGCTGCTGGATAAAGGTCAGCTGGAAATGACGTGTTTACATCCTCTGATGCTCCAGTGAGGTGTGATGAAGCAGAGCATGTTATCTGATCGTCACTAAGTATAGGTGAACTGCTGGAAACAAAACTCTCACTAAAACGCCGCACAGCTCTTATCAAGAGAAGCTGTAATTACCCCGTACGCATCGGCGAGGATTAATGTTCAATTATGGGCTGTTTGACTGCTTTTTGTCTGTTTGTAGATGGAACTGATATTACTGAATGAGATCAGTGAGTAGGAATTCAAAACAAGACATTTATATGAAAATGGGAACATAAAAAGGCATAAATTAATGGGTTTTTTACAACTTTCTTCAAAAATATAAGGCTACAATAACACAATAGAATCGCCAGTGTGTTTGCATTTAGAGGACAGTGTGTGTGTGTGTGTGTGTGTGTGTGTGTGTGTGTGTGTGTGTGTGTGTGTGTGTGCGCTCTCCTCAACGTTTATAAACTAAATCAGCCCGAGGTAACTGTAGATAAGACGGGGAGGGAAGACCCGGAAAACAGGATTATATAACACCTTCTGTGTTTCATAATCAACCTTTATCTATTACAGTAAGTCACACACACACACGTGATCATGTGACCAGATAGTGTGTGAGTGTGTGTGTGTGTGTGTGTGTGTGTGTGTGTGTGACTAACCGGTCACAGGAGCAGGCCACCAGCACACTCAGCAGGTTGTAGATGATGAAGGTGAAGATGACGGCGGTGATGGTGCCGCGGGGGATGGCGTAGCTCGGGTTCTTCAGGTCACCTGGTGCATACAGACAGGTTTAGAAAGATTAGTTACATTAATTAGAATCTGAATAGTTTGATAGAGAATACCGGGAGAAATTGGGTTGATCTCCTTTTTCGACATACATTTTAAAAAAGCAGCTCGACTCATCTCATTGTACCTGTATAATGAAAATAAAGGATTCTATTCTATTCTATTTTAACCATAGGAACTTGAAAAATGTGCACTTTGTACTACAATCAATACTAACATGTGTGTTACAGGACACACACACACACACACACACACACCTGACATGTTGGATCCAGCCATGATGCCGGTGCAGCCGTTGAACATGACGGCAAACACGGTGGCAAAAGTCATCATGTTTCCTGTTGTGTAGTCCAGAGTGTAGTCAGCTGTGAGAGAGAGAGAGAGAGAGAGAGAGAGAGAGAGAGAGAGAGACAGAGAGAGAGAGAGAGAGAGAGAGAGAGAGAGAGAGAGAGAGAGAGACCGAGAGAGACCGAGAGAGAGAGAGACCGAGAGAGAGAGAGAATAAGTGGCTGTGTGTTTATCAGCAGCATCACTCTGCCCACAGAAAGTTCAATTTGACGTTGACACACACTCCTGTGCACCAAACATCAGCGATGGAGGAAACACACACATTATATCTGCTGCTCTCAGATCTACTGAATCACAGGAAGCTGTAAAAGAAAACAGACTCGATTCCCAAAAGTGTCCAAGATGGATCAATATTAACATTTTTACTAACTTTTTTTAACGTGACAACACAGAGAAAGGTCTATTCTCTAACAGGGGAAATTGTTATTGATGCTGGTAAAAAATAATTTTAACATAACATGACAATATGATGCAAAAATAATCAATCATATTGCAATTTCATTAAAAAATAATCCACATAACGCAGCCCTAAAACACAAAATAAATATTAAATACGATATTCCCAGCATGCTTTGCGTGAGGACAGCCTCAGATATGTTTGCCTCCACCTTGCATTTGCACAAAGGGGGTTAATTGTGTTAAATGCACAAGAGTGAGTGAGTGAGTGAGTGAGTGAGTGAGTGAGTGAGTGAGTGAGTGAGTGAGTGAGTGAGTGAGTGAGTGAGTGAGTGAGTGAGTGAGTGTGTGTGTGTGTGACTGGCCTATTGTTAGGAGGTAAACAAAAGTCATATTTAACAGCAAAATATCAGCCGTTTTTTTTATTGTTTAAGCCCCCTATTGTTTATTAAAATGTTAAATCATCACGTAATTCCTAACACGTGATTACCCATTTTTTCTCTGGACTCTGAAATAATCACATGTAAAAGGATGACTCTCCATGCGTGTGTTTGTTTAGTCCGATCCTGGGATTATTCAGGCCGTGTAATAGTTCTCACGTGCCGCTGATTTACAGCAAATAGCTTAGTGATCATGTGTTCTGATATAAATCACTGCAAACAGAAAGAAGTGATCGGATAGATTTCCAGAGAACGTGTTCAATATCTGGAACCAGATTTATCAAAGCCTCTGTCCTCTGCAGGAAAGATACTCTTGATTTAAAAAAACAAACAAACAAGGCCACACAGGTTCCATTCACAGCAGTGCTAATTATAGTTATGAAAGAAATTAGAATAAAATTGATCATATATATTTTTTGTCCTAATTTTAGTCATTTTTACCCGGATACAAGTTATTTTAGCCAATTAAAAAAAACATATTATATCATATATTATTGTTACTCTAAGTTGTTTAACTTATTTTAGCTAAACAGGCCTATTTGTATTGTTCTTTTAATATATAAAAAATACTCATAAAATCTGTCCTACGCTGCTCAAATCCCTCCTGTATCATGAATCAAAACACTAATTCATTCATTTCAATTGAAGTTAATAGTGTGTAATAATTTTTTTTTTTACCCGGATACTAGTTATTTTAGCCATTTTAAAGAGTTGTTTTGGGACTTTTTTTTAAAGCCTATTTGTATTTTTTTGTAATTCAATTATTGTAATAAAATCCAGCCAAATAACATAAAAAAACAGATAATTTAAGAAACTCCCAGCATGCTTTGTGTGAGGACATATTTGGCGTCCCTCTTACCCATGGATGTATAATAAGAACTGGATACAGCGTGGGAGGCGGGGCCTCGTTCTTTCCTATGAGAGTTGCTCATTGGCGCATGAAGACAAAATGGCCCCAACTTTTGAGAGAGTGAAACGTCACGAAAGTAATCATATAATCCGTTCTTATTGTGCATCCATGGGTAAAGGTAAAACTCATGTAGTACTGAACACGTCACATGAACGTGCCTGACGGCGCGGTCACATGGGTTGGATCCGCGTTCATAATGCAGAGGAAAAGAACTCTCAGAATAACGTTATTAGCACATTTTACATTTACAGACGTCTCTTTCCCCGATGTTAGCCAATGGGAAAAAGTGTTTCCGGGCCCAGCGACTGATACAGAAGTGTAGTACCGCCGTTTGGCCACAATGAATATTTTCCTCAGAGTCCGGCGCACTTCCTGGGGGCTTGCTCTGACCCCACAGGTTCCCGAGCAGCGTGTCCAGCTTGAAGCCGGATACTAGTTGTTTTCGCCATTTTAAAACAGGCATTTTATCGTGTATTATTGTTGCACTGGGTTGTGTTGTTGTGTACACTTTTTAATAGCTAAATAGGCCTACTTGTATTTCTGTTGTTATTTATTTATTGTAATAAAATCACTTAAAATCTCTCCTACGGTGCTCTATTCTCTAACAGTGGAAATTATTATTGTTTCTGCTAAAAGAAAATAACAAACTAACACTACTATCTGACAATATGATTAAAAAATAATCAATCCCTCCCATCATTTCAGTCAAAATAATCACAATTTTCCACATAATAGTGTGAAAATACATTTTAAAACGTTTTTTTTGTCTTTTTAATAGTAATTTTACCCGGATACTAATTATCACTCCCATAATATCAGACAAAATAATCGCACATTTTCAAATCCTGCAGCCCTAAAACACACAAAAGATCAAAAAACAAACTCCCAGCATGCTTTGTGTGAGGATATATTTGGCGTGTCTCTTACCCCACAGGTTCCCCAGCAGCGTGTCCAGCTTGAATCCGGTGAAGTTGGCGGTGGTGGGGAACGAGGGTCCCGTCCCGTTGAAGGAGGCAGACGAGGGCAGGACGATGGTGAGGGGGCCCACAGCGAAGAAGCTGATGAAGACGGTGCCCAGAACAAACATGACCACCAGGAAGATGAGGAAGGTGGCCTTGGCGTAGAGGTGAGCCCCCACCATGCAGACGAGGACGCAGAGGAGAAGGACCCCTGTGCCGTAGAGCAGGGACCACCAGTAACCAGAGGGGAGCACCTGGTAGGGGGAGGAGGCCAGAGACCCACCTGGGGGGGAGGGAGGAGGTGAGGAGGGAGGAGGTGAGGAGGGAAGAAGAGGGAAGATGAGATAAGATAGGACTTTATTTATCCCGAAGGAAATTGATTTGCCAGAGTTGTGTGTGTGTGTGTGTGTGTGTGTGTGTGTGTGTGTGTGACGTCTTCTACGATGTGAAAAATAGGAACAGAAACACAAGTCACCTTTGAGTCAGAACAATCTGAACAATGATAAAGATATAGTGAAGAGTTATAACGACCGTATATTTAAATATCACCAGAGACACCTGGATCCAGTGAGAGAGCTTTCTGTGGGAAACAGAAATGATACGAGGCACTTCCTGTTCCTTTGTTCTGCTTTGTCTCAGTATCACTACTCTACCTATTGTTACTTAATTGCCTACGTGCTTGCTCTATCAGCTGAAGTTCCCTTATGCATGAAACCTCTTCTATACTTTCTCATTTGTGTATTTGCATCTCTTAATGACTTAAAATCCCACTGGACATTTTACATTCATATTATATTTAATATTGAATAATCCATTCTTGCACCTCTACTTGATCTGTGCTATTGCTACTTGTTGGCTGTAGTTGTATTATATTTTCTATAACTAAGCTTCACATTTCTTTGTATTTCTCATAAAGTTCCAGCATGCTTACTTATTAGCTTATTAGCTCGCTTGCCTGTTTACTTGCTAAGTGCGTACTTACTTTCTAGCTTGCTTACTGGCAAACTTGCTTAATACTTCAATGCTTGCTTACTCGCATGTTCTACTTACTTGCATACTTTCTTACTGTTCTACAGTACTTGTTTGCTTGCATACTTACCTACTCATTTGCTTATTGGCTTGTTCACTTTTCGCTTCCTTGCTTATTCGCTTGTTTGACATTTACTGACTTACGGCCCGTCCACACGGCGGCGTGCGTTGAAGCTTAAACGCTTCTGCCCATTCACTTTGAATGGGGTGACGTCACGCTTTGCCGAACTGCATTGTGGGAGCGTCGATTCGCTTTGCTCGCTTCAAAAGTTGAGCAATGTTCAACTTTTGAAGCTTCGACGAAAGCGTCAGCCAATCAAATCATATGCCAGTACAAGCTCTAGCCAATCAAACCGCGTGCTTGTGTGTCCGGGGCGGGAGATTCATGTGATTGGTTGTTAGTCGAGCTTCAGACACGCCCGCCGCCAAGCTTCAACGCACGCCGCCGTGTGGACGCTGCGTTACTTACTTGCTCTGTTCCTTGCATGCTTACTTGCTTACTAGTTTACTTACACTCTTACTTGCTTGCATGCTTACATACTTATTTACTTTATTGCTTACTTTTACCTGACTTGTTTACTCCTTTGCTTGATACAGTACGTACTTGCTTGCATGCTTACTTTTTACCATAATCACTTGCTTGATACGTACTTGCTTGCATGCTTACTAACTTATTTACTCACTTCTTGCTTTCTTGCATACTTTCTTACTGACAGTACATACAATTTGCCAAAAAGCACCAGTCCACACTCTGTCTGTTCGGGGATTTGAACCGGCGACCCTCCACTTCCCTAACAAAGGTACTGCCACCCTTAAATGTAGACACTACATACATGCAGTATCTCAAATGTAACATTTTTTATTTAAACAAAAAATTAAAGAATTAAAATGTTTACATTTTTTTTTAATAATTTTAGTTTTTAAAGAATTAAGAATTAAAAAAAAATAAGAATTAAAATTAATTAGAAAAAAATAAGATTAAATTAAGAAAGTAAACCTCAGAAGTTCCAAGGAGGCAAACTGGCACCTCTAAAACGCACCAGTCCACACTCTGTCTGTTCGGGGATTTGAACCGGCGACCGGCCACCCTTAAAAGTAGACATTACATACATGCAGTATCTCAAATGTAAAATGTAACATGTAAACAAAAAATTTAAGAATTACATTTTTAAATGTTTAATTTGTAAGAATTAAAAAAATAAAGAAAAAATTAAGAAAAAATGAAGAAAAAAAAAATAAAGAAAAAATAAAGAAAAAATAAAGAAAAAATTAAGAAAGTAAACCTCAGAAGTTCCCAGGAGGCAAACTGGCCCCTCTGGAAAGCACCAGTCCACACTCTGTCTGAACCGGCGTTCAATGGAGACACTATCATTTTTTCTGCACTAATACTAAATGATCTGGAAGCTTTTTGTCAAGGTGTTGAAATGAAACGCACCCTCCGGCACCCCGAAGGTGTCGACGATGGCCTCCACCAGGCCCAGCACGAAGAGGGCGCAGGCGCACACGTTGGCCAGGAAGAACATGATGCCGATGCTTCCTCCGAACTCCGGACCCAGCGCTCTGCTGATCATGTCTGAGAGACGCTCAGGAAAAGGGTTGGTTGGATAGGAAGTATTCATGTCTTTTAAAAACCGCAGACTGAAAACCCAACTAAAATAAAAATGTGAAATATTTAAATTAAAAGATTAACATTTCAATTTAACATTTTAAAATTTGAAAAATGAAAAAAATGAAAAAATTGAAAAGTTGAAAATGTGAGAATTTAAAAATTGAAAAGTTGAAAAGTAAAAAAAATTGAAAAGTTGAACATTTGAAATTGTTATCAAAATAATGTATATAAAATCTAAAATAATTGGTAAAAATAAATAAATTTAGTTCTTCTGATTTTAAACTAATGCACAACCACCTAAAAAACTGTTTCTTATTTGAAGCGGGTTGTAGTAATCGCAGGTTTGTCGCTGTTCTGAATTTGATCTGTTTTGTAACTTGTATGGTTTATTGTGTCAGCTTAATGTAACATGGTGTCATGTGATGAAACTATGATGAAATGTCATGTTAAAGTGGATACAGTAGGCCCCCCCGGCGTCCAGCGCTCCGTTGGTGGAGATGGCGCAGACCGACAGCACCGTCATGCAGATGATGAAATACATCAACAGGAACATGAAGATGGCTTGGTACAGTCCGGAGTGGCCCACCATGAAGCCTGCACAAAACACAAAACACAGACACTGTCAGAGGAAGACTTCAAGAAACTGAACATTATTTCACTTTGAGATATAAAAATTCACACTTGTGAAAAGTAACAGTGGTGGCTTCCTTCCTTGTTTTTCTATCAAAGCCACTAGACGCCTTAAACAGACATTTTTAACTCATTTTCTTTCCTTCATATTACTTACAGTTGCTTGGCCTCCGATGGTTTACATCAGGGGCATCAAACTCAAATACACAGAGGGCCAAAATAAAAAAATCGGTACTAGTCGAGGGCCGGACTGGTGCAATGTTTATTGCACAACTTATTGCACATATTTAACCTGGAACTAACAAAGCTTAAATTATTGCCTATAAAAACAACATTAAATAATCAGTTGCAGTCATTTCTTATGATTACATTTTTCCACAGGCCAACAACAGCTTCAAAAAAACTATTCCCCTCAAAGAAAAAATCAAACATGTCCTGTTGACGTGAGAAAGAAAGTGCAGAAGGAAACATGTAAACTCAGTGTGCTGCTCTGTGATGCTAGTTCAGATACTTGGCATCTCATCTCGGGTGCAAGGTCATCAATGTTTGGGGTCAGGCTCTGAGCTGAGGAGACCCTCAGGATGGAGTGAAGGTGTGCGTGCAATATACCGGCGGGCCAGATCTAATAGTAATTAGAAATTATCCTGCGGGCCGAAATTAAATCCACCAAGGGCCTGATTTGGCCCCCGGGCCTTGAGTTTGACACATGTGATTTAGATGATATTATGCGATGTGTTTGCTCAAAATAAAATAACAAACTTTTACACATGCAACAAAGAAAAGAGGCCTTTACAATATTGAAAACAAATATGCAAAACTCAAATAAGATAACAAACAACTTAGGTATTCTTTCTGTTTTGATACAGCTCATATAACTTGATAACTTAAAGGGTAATTGTACGGTTAGAAAATGTTCCTCGACGGCGTCTGTCTAGCAGGTTGCTGCCCATCACTGTCACTTTAGAGGAGGTGCCGTGGGAAATGTCTTTTATACTCTGGTTGACTACAGATGTCACGATTAGGTGGCCTTTCTTATAAAAACAAAATACTGGCTCTATATGGGTGTCTAGATCAGGTCTCTAGTAATTGTGTGCTCAAAGTGCACCAGATTGAAGCATTTTACTTTAAAATGTTCAAAACAATCTTCCCGGGGGTATACCCCCAGACCTCCTTGTGGATGTGACGTCCACCCCCCAATTAAAACATGTGAATACATTTGAAGCCATTTTGACATATGTCACTGTCCATTCTTACCTACCCTACCTTTCAGTACTTGAGGTACTTGTACTTCAATGTATGCTAGTTTATACTTCTATTATTACATTTTGGATGCTATTAATGTACTTTTTACTCCACTAAGTATTCGACAGCTTGAGTTACTTACAGATTCAGATTATTAGATAATACAAAATATAAATCAGAAGAGAGAAATTCAACTTCCCAGTCGTATGTCAGATGTTTTTGTTCAGACAGAGACAGAGAGGCTTGTTTGAGACGAGCTGCGGCTCACCTCGAAAGTACACGAGAATAGCCGATTGCAGCCGGGGGAGGTCTCAAAAAGCTCGCCTGAAGTCGGACAGCTCGGAGTCGGCTTGACTCGGTTTGCATTTATAAAGAATGCACAAATGTGTTAATGTCAGATATGTACTAAGTAAATACATTTGTTCCTGCTCAAGATTAGATTCAACTTTATTGTTATTGCACAGATTACAGGTACTGAGACAACGAAATGCAGTTTAGCTTCTAACCAGGAGTGCAACAAGCAGTCAAGTGAAAAGTAATGTACACAATCTACAGAATAAAATATAGAATGAATTGAATGATGAATAAACAGTGAGGGATATGAATACACTATATACACAGTAGCCTATGAGCAGTATGAGCAGTGTGTATGAATATGCTAAGATATATAAAGTATGAAAACGGTAAGCAGTGCAAGTATAGTATAAAATATATAGATATTAATTTCCTGATGATAAACATTGTGGAACAATGATGAAAAATGTGAATGGAAGTGGCGACGTAAAACTGACACAAAACAACAACACACTTTTGCGGAGCCAATAGAGAGGCGAAGTCCCTCCCTCTCCGGGGGGCCTCCATGGGACCTTATTTCGGAAAAATGATGTATTGAAGTCAATGGCGAGAGAAAGATTATCTTTCGATCCCGTTTGAATTGTGCCACGAATTACACATATGATGTTTGTCAATTTAAAAGATAATTTTGCAATTCAAAAAAATAAAAATGTGTAAAGTAACACTTTTTTTGTGTGAAAGCTCTCAATGAACTCCATCTCCCGTCTCGCACCACACACCAAGACGGCCGTCACGTTGGCACATTTCACTTCTTTCTTTCAGAATGAGGCGAAAAGTATTAAAAGAGGTGAAAATCACTCCAAGTCTGGGCATGTTGAGAGCTGTACATACACACAAGGGGAGTTAGTCGGTTCATAAGAGCCAGCATGCGGGACCGGGACTCTGGGATTTGTAGTCTTTCTAGTTGCGTATTTTTCATAGTCTTATATTTCAACAGTTTTACGACAAAATGTGACTTTTTTGACATGGAAATAATTATTTAAGATTGACAAACATCATCTGTGTAATTCATGGCACAATTCAAACGGGATCGAAAGATAATCTCCCCATTGACTTCAATACATAATTTTTCCGAAATAAGGTCCCATGGGTCGGAAGTGGGCAGGACTTCGCCTCTATAGGAGAGTTTCATCACCAGCACGGGGTAAAAACCACCAATGAGCGCTCAGCTCGATATACCAGCGAGTCGTTTCCCATCAAGCATTTCGCTTCCGCAGCTCGTGGAGAGAAACTGCGCCGCCTCGCTCTCAAGGCTCGTCTTTGTCCCGCGAGATTTCAACGTCTCATGCAGTCGAGCCTCCAGAGCAAGTCGGACAAAATGACTAACCATCATGCAACGCACTAGCAAGACGGCGGTCGCAGTTGCGCAGGTCTGCGTCGGTCTCGCTCATCTCAAACGAGCCTATAAGTTCTTCCTTTTACCTTTCCTATCATTGTTAGGCAACTTCTCCAAATGTAATAAGAGGGAAGTTAAAGTTCCCGGGGAAGACACACAGATTGAGGAAGAGGAATAATAACCACATTAATACACACTGTTACTATCAAAGTTTCTGTAGTACTCAATGATTCATGCCATTACTCCATGCTCTCTGAAAGTGAAACAAGGATCAGAGAGGAAAGGGATTCCCGTTTCGTCTTCAGGAACATTTTCATTAAAAGTGTCAAACTAATTCATAAGCTTGATAAAACAAACCTAATTCACATCTTCAAAGGCAAAGTCATGTGAGTGTAATCAAAGTGTTAGACACACATGTATTCCCCATTACCACCATTGGATGTCATATTTGATTTAATATATTTATACATACGATCTTGAGCTGTACCAAATGTCATATTTCTTTACATTAAAAGCAAGCTTTGAATGTCTGTCATTCACCCAAAAAACATAAAATGGGCTAAATAATAGAGTTCGTTATTGCGGTTTTATAAACTCAATTTTTAGGGGTAACATGTTGATTTTATATCATTAATGTAAATGTGATTTTGAATATTGTAATAATGCATATGCTGTTTTTTCCTGGTTTGAAATGCCGGGTACATTTTACATTTTTATTCAATTTAATATTTAACATTCCATTCCTAACACATTTAATGTATATATAATATCCTGCTTTATATTTTCTTACTGTTATTTGTATTTCAACATGTATATTTCCTACTTTTTTTAAATGCCATTTTATTTCTATTTGAGATGTTTACATTTTGGATTGTTTATTTATAGTCTTTTAATTTCTCTTATGTCCTTGTCTTTTTGTGCTGCCGCAACGCAAACATTTCCCACATTGGGATCAATAAAGTACTTCTTATCTTACCTTATCTTAAAAACACACATTGACTGCATCAGGGGGAAAAAAAAGACTCTCTTATCATTCATATAATGTATTTTCTGTTATATTCTCATTTGCACTATTGTATATTGTATATCAGTATGTTTTCAATTGTATTAAAGGGAGGCTGTGGCTCAGTGGGATGGTGCGGTTTGGGTAAAAGCGTCTAACAAGTGACATGTAATATAATATAATATATCTTTGCTCTACTTGGAGAATCCAAATCTGCTGTATCTTATTCCAATAAACCCTGACCTTTGGACTTTACAGCGCCCTGAGGTTATTGGAAATGTTTCGAACAAACAAAACTGAAACCATACAACTCAGAGATGTATTTCTACAAATAGTAATAATAATAATAATAATAATAATAATACTAATAATGTTAGTGTAGCCTTATCTTTATCTGTAAATATGAATAAATATGTGCTTAAACACATTTGAACGCTGATTTTGAACATTATGTGTAGCTTTAAAGATTGAAACTCTTCAGAAAAGCCAAAAAATGGCAGTAAATGAAAGAGATTTTATGACCTGCTTTCATAATATATAGAGTTTTAAAAAAATGTTTGAGCACTATATGTCATTTTTGATAGATTTCGACACAGGAGATGTTTAATTTAAAACACCAAAACAATATAAGTTGATTTACTGACATTTGACGCCTTAATAATAACTATATAATGACTGATACTCGAAGATGTGTTTTCCTACAACACAGAGGTCTGTCAGCCCTCACACATGTCGATGCTTTCACAGATGATGTATACATCCACATGTAGTTCCACATCCACAGTGAAAACTACTGAGGGGCATGGTACAGTGTGAATAGTAGACCTACACACACTGCTACTGTGTGTGTGTGTGTGTGTGTGTGTGTGTGTGTGTGTGTGTGTGTGTGTGTGTGTGAACTGTGTGAACTGTGTGAACTGTGTGTGACCACGGCATAGCAGCTGACATCTCACGAGACTGTGAGGGCAGAGGGTGGGTGAGAGAGGGAGAGCTGGAAAACAATTTGGACGTAAAACCATGAGAGGAACGCACGAGAAAAATTACACATTTGATCAGAGAGGAGATCAAGTGAGGCGTGAAAGACATTTGTTCTGCTTCCCCAGCGGCCTCTTTTTCACGCTTTGACAGCAGAGATGTGAAACGGTGGATTCATGATTAGTTGCTTCTCACACGTTTACTCAATTTGACCAGAAAACAGACTTCACGCTCTTTACGACATGGACTAAAATAACTTATTTCAGCAATTTTGACCTCAAATTTCATCTTTACTACAGAGGAAAAAGATGCTTCAGGGAAGTTTATTAATCGTAGGTTACACTTCCCTTCATATGTCAACACTGTGAGGAAAATATCACAACTACACTATTCTGTATTACTTTGACATGTAATCCCTTAAAGGGGACCTATCATGCAAAATGCACTTTTGTACGTCTTTTCTACATGAATATGTGTCCCCGGTGTTCCAGGGAACTCACCAAGTGTCAGAAAACACAACCCTCTCTATTTTCCTCCATACCCAAATCTCTAAAAAAGGGGCTGCAACGGATCTGATCAAAACTGATCCAGATTTGAACACTTCTATGACGTCACAGAAGTGGCGCTACGGCTATTGGGCCAACTCTCCACCTATCAGGGAATGGGGTTGGGCCACGGCCGGCCATTGCCGCTCGAAAGCGCTGGAGACGCTGTAGTACATATGCCAGGCCTGTAAGTGGCGCTGTAGTCTGCCACAAAAGCAGCGAAGAAGACTTCCCGCGCATATGGTAACCATGGTTAACCTTCTGTTTATTCTCCGCTGTGGCTTTTTTTCTCCCTCCCCGAGGCAAGTGTTTGCTCCCGCTGCTTTAATTCAATGCAATCCCTCCCCGTCGAGGCAAGCACTGTAATTCTCTCCGGTTAGTCCACCAGCAGATGACAAACACCCACCTCTCCGCCTCTTCCAAGGAACGAGGGGACCGTGCGGCAGAGTTTCAGTTTCAGTTTCTTTCGCCGGTCAAGATGTCCGTTAAAGTTTAAATCTTCCGGACAAAATTAGAAAAGTGCCGGTCAAAGGTCTTCTTTGTTATTTATTGAGCTTTAAAACAAATGAATAACGACTCTATAGGCCTATAATAATATAATAAAACCATAGACTGTATATATAAATAAAACCCTCTTGACTTGATCAGAGCACGGCTCCCCTCTCCTGCAGGGGGGCGTGGTCAGCTGCAGCTCACAGAATCAGCCCCGTAGACAGCAAACAGCACATAGAGCGAAATGAGGCATGGCTAAAATGCATGATCTGTTTGGTATTTTGAAAACAGAAACGTATAAATATACCTTATATAGGTATGGCCCTACAATATATCATTGAAATATAGCATGATAGGTCCACTTTAACTTCTGGAGTTTATCCCCCTATCCCAGGGTAAATTCAAGAAATAGGTCCAGCATTTGCAATTTTTAAAGCTTTTGTAAAGGTTGGAGCAAGTAGTTTATGCAAAACTTAAACCTTAAGAAAATACATTTTATAGTTACCCACTACATTTAAATAAAGATGGAAAGCTCTCCTGGATACATAACCCACCTGAAAAACTGTGTGATGATGAGTTTAATATCATTATTTATAGATATGGCAAAGATGTGTCTGCTCACTGAACTAAACTCACTGAATGTAATGATCCAATAGCTCACTTTTCATTTAAAGAAGGGTGCTTTTTGAACAGTTTTCACACTGAAAATAGGACCAAGTTTTTTTGTAAGTACCAAAAGTAAACTTATATTATATTGTAGAATATTTTGTGTCTGATACTTTTCTACTTTTACTTGAGTACAATTTTGAATGAAGGACTTTTACTTGTAACAGAGTATTCTTACACTCTGGTACTTCTACTTTTACTCAAGTACAAGATCTGAGTACTTCTACTTTTACTCAAGTACAATATCTGAATACTTCTACTTTTACTCAAGTATAAGATCTGAGTACTTCTACTTTTACTCAAGTATAAGATCTGAGTACTTCTACTTTTACTTGAGTATTTTGAATGCAGGATTTTTACTTGTAACAGAGTATTCCTACACTCTGGTACTTCTACTTTTACAGTAAAGATTGAGATTGAGATTTTACTCAAGTACATGATCGGAGTAATTCTCCACCTCTGGTAACTTTACACCATCACATCTCTGTAGTGATTAAGGAATACATTATTACCACTCACCTATCCGGAGGAAGACCACCACGCTGAACATGGACAGCAGGGTCGGGATCACCACCCCGAAAAACACCGACAGTTTCTTCGGTTGCTGCCGCTGGAGGCTGCTTTTCATCCGGGGTCCGACCGGGTGCTGCTGCGGGGCCAGGCCGGCCGGAGGGGCCCGACACTCGGACTCATTGACGCTGGCCGAGAGGCGGTAGTGGAGGAGAGGAGTCCGCTCTGTCATGGTGGATCCTGGCTCTTTACACCGTCATAGAGCCGGGGAAATCTGTCACTGTGGATCCGACTGTTTTTCTCTAACGGTTAATAAAAAAACCTGTTAAAAGTTTCCGACGGTTTTCTCCCAAGTTAGTGCTCTTTACACCGTCATAACGAGAGGGAAATCTGTCACTGTGGATGCGACTGAGTGTCTCTAACTGTTAGTAAAACAAGTAATACAAACCTGTCAAAAGTTTCCAACAGTTTTCTCCAAAGTTAGTGCAACGTCCAGATTGCAGACCGTTAAAAAGTTAGCGAACTACATAGCGAAGCAGGAAATAAGTACTCTCTGTTCCCTTGAAATAAAGCCAACTATATGCTGACATATAGTGGTAAGAAACCAGTTATAAGTCCACTCCAGCTGCCCATACTAAGGATAATACTAAGGATAAGGATAAGTGAGTAGTGGAGCTACAATAGAGAATCATGTGATGGCCCAACGGTAGCTGGTGACCATCACAAGCAGCACTTCCTGTTAGGACTTTAAGAATAAAAGCTTTTTGACAAGCTGGAGGAGGTAGAAGAAAAACTGAACACAGAATTATTCATTTGAAGTTTAATTGTTTTTAGATGTGATGGAGATGGGGGTAGGCCTACTTATTAGAGATTGTCATAATGGTCTTTTATCTGCCAACCAAATCTACGGGTACAAATAAATAACCACCTGAACAATGAAAGTACTGCATTTAAAATGTTACTTAAAGAAAAATACAAAGCATCAAAATATAGGTAGGTACCAAAATGTATACTTGGCCGACTCATTGTAGCGGGTGGCAGTAAAAAGTATTTTATTTGTACCAAAAAGTATTGTTTACATGGAGTATAAGTAGGCTAGTATACAATGATAATAATCAGGTAAGTATCTACAATTGTACTTAGAACAATACTTTAGTACTCAGTTAGTCTGAAAATTGGAAATAAAGTATATATTTTAAGATGTGTCTTTACAAAACCACTCATCATATTAAACCAATGCCTGAGGATTGAAACTTTGTTTTGAAGATGTACAGAAATGATTTGAACATACTTGACAGTGGATTAATAAGAGGCTCATTCATGTATATGTAACACCAGTTAATTACAAAATGTTGACAACAATATATCAGACACATATGAGTGCAATGAGTGTATAAATGAACCCTGTATCGTTGCATTTACAGGAAAATAATAGAGTTTTTAAAAAAAAATGACATACAGAAAACTGTCTGGAAATAAACCATGTAATTGAAAGTATTTATTTTTTAACTGGTAGGAAGATATATTAAAAAGGTACATTTTACCAAGAGAAACAAAGGTATTTGTTGTAAAAACACATTGTAGGTAACAGTTTCCGGTTTGCACTGCCTGTTTCCTGTAGCTTGACAAATCTTTTTTCCAGCCCACTGATTTCCACCAGCCCGGTGTTCTGGGTCATATGATCAGACTGGCTCAGCCAATCAGAGAGCAGCGTTCTGGGGACACCTGCTGACAGCCCAGCATCAGTTGGAAAGGGTGTCATGTGATCTCACTTCAGAATATAAGTTTAAATGACTTTTTAGCACCTCAGAACATATGTATAAATGCATGTCAAAGTGTATTATTACATGCTTTTCACTTGTTTAATGAAACTTGTCAAACTTGATAAAAAAGGTCCATATAAATGATGTTTTTTGCAACAAAGATACAATGCATGTACCAAAATGGCTATGCAAATACAGTGAGGGCAAAAAAAAGACAGACCGCAACAAACACGTTTCCTCTTTTTCTTTAACTTCTGTATTATCACATTTGCATTTGTAATGGTATCGTTATAATAAAAGTGAAGCAAAAATCACAGAATATTGCAATACTGTAATGACCCACCCCACTCCCCACTCCCAAATAATGAAAAGAAAACCAAAGCATTAACTACTAACTCCTCCCGAGTTAATACATGATATATTAACACACATTAAACAGTCTGGCTAGCAGAGTCTGAGTGCATTTCCTAAAAACAGTGATTTAACAGCTCATACACTTCTCTGACAGACAGGAGGGAAGGGAAGGGAAGGGAAGGGAGGCGTGTGGCGCAGTGGGTTGTGCGTTGGTGTTTGGATCAGGAGGTCACAGGTTCAAACCCCACTGCAGTCAGCATGTCGTTGTGTCCCTGAGACACTTCACCCCAAATTGCTCCTGTGGGGATTGTCCACAGTATTGAGTATGTAAGTCGCTTTGGATAAAAGCATCTAACAAGTAACATGTAATGTAATGTAACGGGAAGCCGGTGTAAAGACTTCAGAACTGGAGGGATGTGATCCACTTTCTGAGTGTTAGTGAGGACTCGAGCAGCAGCTTAACTCAAACACAAAACGTCCCAAAACCACGTTTCTTAACAACTATAGTAAAGTAGACAAGGAGGTTCAACCTTATGTTCAGTATTAGATATCAAATCAAAGCCGATACACGCTGTCCTCCAAGCTGCACAACTTATATTTGCAGGGACCGTGTACACAATGCAACAATGAAATATGATAAAAGCTCAAATATGAAATAACTTTCCTGTCTTAAAGATCAACCAGAATCACCTCAGACATCGTCTACCACTCCCCCTGCTGGATGTACTACTTTAATACATGTATTTGGAGGTATAACATGCTTTTGGTTTACAATTTAAAAGCATATTTGTTTAATTTCGCAAATGATATGTTTATGACGAGAGATTTTTTTGCAGATATACTGCATAATCGACCGTCATTTCAAATGGTATTGCAAACATATATAGTCTGATTGCTCCCTATTGAATCTCTTAAATGACACAACTTCATGCATTACATTTTTAAATAAAGGCGTAACACGGTTCCAGCCCTAAAAGCCAGGAAGTGCTCAGGTTGTTTTATTTTTACCACTCATAGTGTTTGAAGCCCTCCCTACGCTGACCTCAGATCTGACCCCTGCACAGACAATGAGACAGATATCTACCATACTCACATCATACAATACTGAGTGTGTGTGTGTGTGTGTGTGTGTGTGTGTGTGTGTGTGTGTGTGTGTGTGTGTGTGTGTGTGTGTGTGTGTGTGTGTGTGTGTGTGTGTGTGTGTGTGTGTGTGTGTGTGTGTGTTAGTTATTTACGTGATTACGTCTGAGAGTGGCGTAGCTTGTGCTCCTGGCAGTAATAAGGTCTTTGTTAACATTTAGATGCGTGTGTGTGTGTGTGTGTGTGTGTGTGTGTGTGTGTGTGTGTGTGTGTGTGTGTATGTGTATGTGTATGTGTATGTGTATGTGTATGTGTATGTGTGTGTGTATGTGTATGTGTATGTGTGTGTGTGTGTGTGTGTGTGTGTGTGTGTGTGTGTGTGTGTGTGTGTGTGTGTGTGTGTGTGTGTGTGTGTGTGTGTGTGTGTGTGTGTGTGTTATTTACATCTGACGGTGGCGTAGCTCGTGCTCCTGGCAGTAATAAGGTCTTTGTTAACATTCAGATTTGTCTGTGTGAGTGAGTGTGTGTGTGTGTGTGTGTGTGTGTGTGTGTGTGTGTGGTGTGTGTGTGTGTGTGTGTGTGTGTGTGTGTGTGTGTGTGTGTGTGTGTGTGTGTGTGTGTGTGTGTGTGTGTGTGTGTGTGTGTGTGTGTGTGTGTGTGTGTGTGTGTGTGTGTGTGTGTGTGTGTGTGTGGGGGAAGAGCCGCTACCATGGCAACACCAAGCTTTGAGTACCTCTTAAAGGGCCGAGCTCCTCTCTCTCTCTCCCTCTCGATGTCTCTCTGTCTATGTTCTGCACCCACAACACTCTGCAGGGAGACAACAGAAGGATGTCCTGATTATATCTGTCCAACAGTGTTCTCTTTATTTCCGGCAGCTGTTTCTGCCACAGTGGGATATCTCCAAGATCTTTGTGGATATTATGATGCCACTATTTCCTGGGAGTGAGGATTGTTGATGCTCCTGCAGACTGAGGCTGGATACACACAGTCAGGTATCATACATGCTGGGAATACTCAGAAACATGGTCTTTTGATGGACTCTGATACAAAGACAGATGATCTGGGAGATTTTGGACATGGTTTGCTTCAATTGTACGTGATCTTTTCAACTAGTGCAAGACAAATTAAGCTTAATTGTTGTTACTAAATTTGGCTATTTGCTTCTGTAGATTTCGATTTTTGCTGGAATCACCAATAGTTAGCGCTAGAAAATGCTGAACGTGCATATTTAAACATAACATTTGACTTATTTATCCTTTTCAAAGTGAGTGTCTTTCTATTATATATTTTTAAATTATGTTTTTTTTTACATTTGAGTTTTTTCTCATACCATACGCCAGAAATCTGCACTTCAGTAGCACTTAATATAACATTTTATTTTGAATAATTGGGCCAAATAACTCAGTATTTTCTCATGTACCAAAATATGTCCAATACTCCATGTGTAAAAGCCTTTAATATGTCAACAAATGATAGCTCATATTTAATAAGATGACGCCTTGTTTGCAGAGTAAGAGAACTTAATGTAATGAAGTGTGGAAGTTAATGGGTATGTTTTCCCCCATTCACCTCTCCTGTCTCTCTTAATTGAAAAGCAAAAATAGACGTGGACAATTCCAGTTGCAGACTTTGTTACGACAAAGGCAAAGAAGCACTGGCAATGCAAGAATATTTATAACCGTGAGCAATGTCAGTGAGGATATTCCCCCCTCGGAGGACACACAAAGAGCGTCTGCATGTCGGAGCAGGACCGTCCAACGGGGAGGAAGACGAGCAGAAAGATGAAGACTTTTTGCAGATTTTATCCTGCTGTCCTGCATGTAAACAGAGCGGTGACTTCCTCCTGCTCCTGCCATGCTCCCACCCCATGTGTGCTCCCTGTATATCAGCAGAGGGAGGAAGACCCTCTCCCCCTCCTCACCCGGGTGAAGTCTCCCTGCTGTGCCCCGTCTGCAGACTTCCTGTGGAGCTGCCATGCTGGAACTGGTCCGCGGCCACTTCCTGTCTGCCAACACATCCCATCATGAACACTGCACATATCAGGAGGGAGAGAGAGGAGGACCAGCTTCAACATGAGCAGGTATCAAGATTCAAGATGCAAGGCTTTTCTTTTTCATGTGTACATAGCTACAGTGTAGATATATCAATGAAAATCGAATATACATATTGCAATAGGAGTCGATACACAAGTAATTGGAATATGATATATTGGATAAATAATTTCTAAGTTGCAGCCAGATGAATGTTATGGATGTTGTTTCAGGTGTTTAACAGTCTTATTGCCTGTGAGATGAAACTGTCCCTGAGTCTGGTGGTTTTTGGTAGAGGGAGGTCTAAACTAAGAGGGAGGTCTAAAGGTCACAGATTTAAAGGTGGAATATTTAAGATTTCTGCAAAAGAAAAGTGTCAAAAAAAACGCGACCCATGTTGTGTATTTTTGCAGAGCTGTGTACTTAGATTAGATCATAATGTATTTTATTGATCCCAAATTATGGAAATGGTGTCGTTAAGGCAGCATGGTAACAAGATATTGCATATGAGTTAAAGTATATTAAAAGAAAAAAAGCAAATTTATAGTCAAATATAAAGAAAAAGTTAGAAAAATATCTACTTCTAAACTAAGAGGGAGGTCTAAAGGTCACAGATTTAAAGGTGGAATATTTAAGATTTCTGTTGTGAACTTAGATTAGATAACATTTAAGTGATCACACATTTTGGAAATGGTGTCGTTACGGCAGCATGTTAACAAGACATTTGAGTTACATTTAATCAAATCAAATAAAAAAGTCATAGTAAAAAATTAAGAAAAAGTTAGAAAACACTGCAAAAAACAATCCAGACTATTTAAATATACAGGATTTAACAGGATACTCTAAGTTGCAGTTTCGTATATTAAAGTTTAAAGGTAATGAGTATAATGAAATACAGAATTTGTGATACATTTATGAAGATTATCTACATGTGTTAAAGTATATTTATACAGAAAAAGTATTTCTTATCAAAAGATAATACAGCTTAAGTTATTTATCTTCCTTGAAATACATTTTACAATAATGTTATGCAACACATGTCTCTAGTTTGGATTCACGACATGACCCCTCCTGTCAGTATATTGACCCCTGTATATATTGTGATATAGCTAATGTTTGTTGTAGTATAGAGTGCACAAGTATTTGTATTCTATTAATTTATTAATATTTTTATTTTATTTTACATTTATTGTTGGAGCTATATATTGCTTTATATTATTTAATATTTAATCATTTATTCACTTGCTGTATTTGTTAATAGTAAATGTATTATTATTTAGTGTTGTTATTTAAGTGAGTTAAAGTAGTTATTATGCTTGTTTAAGGCATATTTTGGTATACTAATTGTATATATTAGAGACAGGTGGAGGTGGGAGTAGAGCCCTGGTAGGCACATGGTGTGATTCAAGCCACGAGAAGGAAAGCTTCCGGAAAGGATGACATAGGAAACTTGTCCATTGTTCTTTTGTTAATGATTATTATTATCTGTTCTTTTATGATTCTGGCTGCTGCATTTATTCTCAAATAGAGCAACAAGATCAATAACATATTCTGATTCTGATTCTACTTAGGGGGACACCTGCTGCCGAGATGCAGACAACACGACAGCAATGCAGGGATCATATGGTGAGTATAGTGATGTATTGATAGGAGTAACTACCTTCTAAGATTAAACCATATCTGTATGTAGAGGTGTACTCAGATCGTGTACTTGAGTAAAAGTAGAAGTACTCAGATCGTGTACTTGAGTAAAAGTAGAAGTACTCAGATCTTGTACTTGAGTAAAAGTAGAAGTAATCAGATCTTGTACTTGAGTAAAAGTAGAAGTACTCAGATCTTGTACTTGAGTAAAAGTAGAAGTACTCAGATCTTGTACTTGAGTAAAAGTAGAAGTACTCAGATATTGTACTTGAGTTAAAGTAGAAGTACTCAGATCTTGTACTTGAGTAAAAGTAGAAGTACCAGAGTGTAGGAATACTCTGTTGCAGTAAATGTCCTGTTTTCAAAATTTTACTCAAGTAAAAGTACAAAAGTATTATCATCAAAATATAGTTAAAGTAGCTAAAGTAAAAGTAGAAGTACTCAGATCGTGTACTTGAGTACAAGTAGAAGTACTCAGATCGTGTACTTGAGTAAAAGTAGAAGTACTCAGATATTGTACTTAAGTTAAAGTAGAAGTACTCAGATCTTGTACTTGAGTTAAAGTAGAAGTACTCAGATCTTGTACTTGAGTAAAAGTAGAAGTACTCAGATCTTGTACTTGAGTTAAAGTAGAAGTACTCAGATCTTGTACTTGAGTAAAAGTAGAAGTACTCAGATCTTGTACTTGAGTTAAAGTAGAAGTAATCAGATCTTGTACTTGAGTAAAAGTAGAAGTACTCAGGTCTTGTACTTGAGTAAAAGTAGTACTCAGATCTTGCACTTTAGTAAAAGTAGAAGTAATCATATCTTGTACTTGAGTAAAAGTAGAAGTACTCAGGTCTTGTACTTGAGTAAAAGTAGTACTCAGATCTTGTACTTTAGTAAAAGTAGAAGTAATCAGATCTTGTACTTGAGTAAAAGTAGAAGTAATCAGATCTTGTACTTGAGTACAAGTAGAAGTACTCAGATCTTGTACTTGAGTAAAAGTAGTACTCAGATCTTGTACTTGAGTAAAAGAAGTACTCAGATCTTGTACTTTAGTAAAAGTAGAAGTACTCAGATCTTGTACTTGAGTAAAAGAACTAAAGTCTGATTTAACACTTGATTATATTTCACATCATTCATCCACATCTGTGAAGTAACTAAAGGGATTACATACATGTAGTGGAGTAACGTCACTGTCAACATGTTGTTCCCCAGCAGCTCCAGAGGGGGGAGACGTGGAGCTGACGGAGGAGGAGATGGAGCGCTCTGTGTTCGGTCAGGAAACACACATGATGCTGAAATAAATACATTTATAATAACAGGTTTATGTGTAGTTGTTTAAATAGCGTTATTCAACTGTTTATTTATTGATTTTTCTTCATGTTGTTGCCGTTGTCATCATTGTTTTACTGGACATACCTTATATCTCATATGCCAAACTCTCCTCACATCATTTCATATCCCAAAGTCAATAACAAATGCTTTCTTTAATTCTACATTTTGTATTTGTTATGTACAAACGATGTGTGCTTACTCCTAACTCAATTCGTTTTTTGTTAAAGTCTAGGGGTTCACATACTTTTTCCAACATACACTGAATGACTGAATAATTTATAAAAAATGCACAAGAACAAACCAAAAATGTGTTTTCTATCAGTGAAAACAGATTGTATTGTGCTGATAATTGTGACTTTGATGATGATCAGATCACATTTATTGACCAATTCATGCATAAAACTAGGATTTTTTTCTTGCCACTGTATCAGCTCTTAGGGTTAGGGTCAGCGTTGGGGTTATTTCATTTTCTTGGTGCAGTATTTTTGACTCTCTCCTTACGATTATACTCAATCATTCATAACTTTTATTGTGTTTTCAGGACTGTGTTTTGCTCTGGACTCTTCAACCGTACCTCCATCGCTCCATCTCTCCGCCTCCTCCCTCACCGTCTCCCACTGCGACCCCTCTCCAGACCCAGGGGTCAGCAGATCCATGACCTCTGACCCCTGGGTGGCACTGCCCCTCCCTCAGGTCTGCTCTGATGTCATCATCACTGGGGGACAGTATTACTGGGAGGTGGACGTGTGTAACAGCTCCGTCTACAGGATCGGTAAATACTCTGCTCTCTGTGTTTAGATTGGATCACTGCCAGAGAGATTATTGCTTCCAGAAACACCACTGTTAGTCAGCAAGACTCTTGTTTAACCCACACACACACACACACAACACACACACACACACACACACACATACACACACACGCACACACACACACACACACACATATACACACACAAACACACGTCATCAGACAAAGCTCTAAAGTTCTGAGACCTTTTAAAGACCATCGATCTTTGGCGGTCAGAAAACATTTGTGTTTCCATTCTTATTGTTTTGTTAAACTAGTGGAACAATTTGACCATATTTGCAGCTAGTGTTTAAACTTTATACCCACAGAGTACTGCAGGAATGAGTCTTGAATCCTGAAACGAGTCAGCTTTTTAGCACTTCCTGCATATTCTGTCGTCTGGAAGTCAATGTTTTTTTTGTATGTGTTTTGGTTAGAAGCTTGAAATGAGGTCAGTGATTAACAGAAGCTGAAGATATTCCAACACCTGGTTCGACAACATAATATATGTCTGTAATTACGCTTGATTTTTACTTACAGTAACACAGTCCAACAATAGCCGCCTTTAGCCTAGAGATGGTGACGTGAAGTCATGTGACCGTGCTGTAGTTCCTTTATAGCCCAACATTAGCCGCCTTTAGCTTAGCGGTGGTGACGTGAAGTCATGTGACCCTTAGCGGTGGTGACGTGAAGTCATGTGACCGTGCTGTAGTTCCTTTATAACCCAACATTAGCCACCTTTAGCTTAGCGGTGGTGACGTGACGTCATGTGACCGTGCTGTAGTTCCTTTATAGCCCAACATTAGCCTCCTTTAGCTTAGCGGTGGTGACGTGAAATCATGTGACTGCTGTAGTTCCTTTATAGCCCAACATTAGCCACCTTTAGCTTAGCGGTGGTGACGTGAAGTCATGTGACCGTGCTGTAGTTCCTTTATAGCCCAACATTAGCCACCTTTAGCTTAGCGGTGGTGACGTGACGTCATGTGACCGTGCTGTAGTTCCTTTATAGCCCAACATTAGCCTCCTTTAGCTTAGCGGTGGTGACGTGAAGTCATGTGACCCTTAGCGGTGGTGACGTGAAGTCATGTGACCGTGCTGTAGTTCCTTTATAACCCAACATTAGCCACCTTTAGCTTAGCGGTGGTGACGTGACGTCATGTGACCGTGCTGTAGTTCCTTTATAGCCCAACATTAGCCACCTTTAGCTTAGCGGTGGTGACGTGACGTCATGTGACCGTGCTGTAGTTCCTTTATAGCCCAACATTAGCCTCCTTTAGCTTAGCGGTGGTGACGTGAAGTCATGTGACCGTACTGTAGTTCCTTTATAGCCCAACATTAGCCACCTTTAGCTTAGCGGTGGTGACGTGAAGTCATGTGACCGTGCTGTAGTTCCTTTATAGCCCAACATTAGCCACCTTTAGCTTAGCGGTGGTGATGTGAAGTCATGTGACCGTGCTGTAGTTCCTTGTTGACAGTAATTGATTTAACTAAATGAATTACACATTGCAGTAACTATTAAATGCATGCAAGTGTTTAGCCTAAAATCTGGACTCTGTAACGGCTGCACAATGAATATGAATCTCTTCTGTCTGCAGGTGTGAGTTCTCCAGATGGTTCTGTCGGCTGGTGGCTCGAGAGGCATGGCTCGTCTTTTTGTGTTGTGTACGATGGCAGCCGGGAGCCCCTCTGCTCCGTCCCCCCTCAGATCAAAACCCTCGGGGTCTTCCTCAACATGGGAGGGGGCGTCCTGAGCTTCCACAACGCTCTGACCCGGGAGCACCTCACCTCGCTGCCCACTCTCTTCCCCCCCGTGGGAGTCACCCCGGCTCTGGGTCTGAATCAGGGCCGGCTGAGGGTACGGTGCGGCCTCCCCCCTCCTCCTCATGTGTTCCTGGGGAAGGACTCGGCCTACAGGGGGCCGTGTGGAGCAGGAGGGGGCCGCTGGAGCAGGGAAATCCCCTTCCAGCCGGTGAGGAAAGTGATCCAGAAGTTTGAGGAGCTGGCTGTGTCGGATTCGGACTCAGGTCTGGTGTCCGGATCTGGATCCTCCTGCTCCACCTTGGCCTCGCTCCCTGATCATCTAGTTGCTAGCTTATAGTGAACCTGGACATGTTGAGTAAGAAAAGATTAGATAAGGAACTTCTGACCTTCTGCACCTTACAACCCAGTGTCTGTCTACACTGCTGTGTTTTATCATGTTATTTTATGTTTTATTGTTCTGTTTGTTTGTTTTTTAATTAAAGGGGACCTATCATGCAAAATGCACTTTTGTACGTCTTGTATACATGAATATGTGTCCCCGGTGTTCCAGGGAACTCACCAAGTGTCAGAAAACACAACCCTCTCTATTTTCCTCCATACCCAAATCTCTAAAAAAGGGGCTGCAACGGATCTGATAAAAACTGATCCAGATTTGAACACTGTCCTGACGTCAGGACAGTGGCGCTACGGCTATTGGGCCAACTCCACCAATCAGGAGGAGACAGCCACGGCCATTGCCGTTCGAAAGCGCTGGAGACGCTGTAGTACATATGCCAGGCCTGTAGATGGTGCTGTTCTCACAGAATCAACCCTTGCTAAAACAGATCAAAAAATGTCAAATTGAGCGAAATGAGGCATGGCTAAAATGCATGATCTGTTTGGTATTTTGAAAAAAAAAAAGTATAAATATGCCTTATATAGGTATGGTCCTACACTATATTATTCAAATATAGCATGATAGGTCCACTTTAAGTATTCCAGTAATATATGTTGCATGTTTTTTATTTGGTTGACTTACAAAATCTTTCCAGGGACTACAGATGAAAAATAGCCTCTTGGCTAACTCATTTACACATTTACAGAAATGCTGATTAATGTGCACTATCCCTGTTAAATAAATAAATACAACTTTATTTATCCCCTTGGATAAGTTCCAAAATGTATAGCAGCAACAGGTTCAGAGTTAAAAACAGGATTCACACAAAGTACCCCAAAGATTTATGATAGAGATGTCAAAGTACGGGTCCCCAGCACATAGAAAACTGCTGGATGCTAACTTGCAAATGTTGGGCAATTTGCACAATTAGCATAAGTTGCGTTGATTAGCATTATGTGGACAATATTTTAAAAATGGCATGGCGGATTAGGACAATTTTGGAGTGGTTCCAGGGGTTATTGAGGATGCTGAATCCATGTATGTGGCAAATGGCAGTTGGAACCAGGAAATGCAAAAAACAAATGTCTCTCTGTCGGCTGATTTAGATTCATTTTGGGTCCATTTGGAAGTTTTACGGGACTCTGGATCATTTGGATTGAACAGATTGCCTATTTATCTGAAAAATAATTGTCTAAAGTAGAGATAATAATGTTCATCTTGTGCTCTCTGTATCCAATGGTCGCAACACTACTCATGGCAGTCAAAAGGTGTGTGTGCTGGGGAACCGTACTTTACATTTCTATCATAAAACTTTGGTGTACTCAACATTTCCAGGTTCATTATTCTGGCATCTACACTGAGAAGCGGGGGCTCCTGGGTGCTCCCCTCTGGGCAGGAAGCTGAATGAAAAACTCTTCAATGGGAGCATCAGGGCAAAAAAAAGAGTTTGATCTCCGTCATTTGAAAGGCTAATGTTTCATCTTGAAGGACTTCAGGCCGCCTCTCTCCTCTCTGCGTGACCCCGGACCTGCATTGACTCTCTCCCCAGGACACAGCCTTTTTCTCTCACCCCAACCTCCCCCCTTACTGTTTTGGGCTCAGGCCAGATTGAGTCCTCTGTAATGTGAAGTGTGAGGAAAGGGAGGGCTGATAGCAGCAGGACGCCTTGATGAGTCTCTGTGTGACGGTTATCGGACAGTAGGGGTCCAACAGTAAACTGCACACGTTCCCGCATGTGTTTAGAGTGGTGTAAAGTTACTAAGTACTGCACTTAAGGACACTTTCCATTTTATGCTACTGTGTACTTCTACTCCACTACAGTTCAGAGGTACATGGTGTACTTTTACTCCACTACATGTATGTAATACCTTTAGTTACTTCACAGATGTGGATGAATGATGTGAAATATAATCAAGTGTTAAATCAGACTTTAGTTCCACCTGGAGTAAATCCACAAGCTACCCTGCAGTATACAAAGTCATTCAAACTAGCTGCACCTTTACCAGCTTTGAGAACACTTTCATGATCAATCATTATAAAACATATCATATATATTATTCTGAAATGGACCAATCTGCACAATGACTACTTTTACTGTCGCTACTTTCACTATATTTTGATGATAATACTTTTCTACTTTGACTTGAGGAACATTTTGAATGCAGGACTTTTACTGTAACAGAGTATTCCTACACTCTGGTACTTCTACTTTTACTCAAGTACAAGGTCTGAGTACTTCTACTTTTACTCAAGTACAAGATCTGAGTACTTCTACTTTTACTGAAGATCTGAGTACTTCTACTTTTACTCAAGTACAAGATCTGAGTACTTCTACTTTTACTCAAGTACAAGATCTGAGTACTTCTACTTTTACTGAAGATCTGAGTACTTCTCCCACCTCTCCCCAGAGTGTGTGTGTGTGTGTGTGTGTGTGTGTGTGTGTGTGTGTGTGTGTGTGTGTGTGTGTGTGTGTGTGTGTGTGTGTGTGTGTGTGTGTGTGTGTGTGTGTGTGTGTGTGTGTGTGTGTGTGTACAGTGTAGTGAGATGAGGAGGTGTGAGTACAGTGACGCGGTGGTGTTGACGGAGCAGGAGGACAGGTGGTGGCTCACTTTGTCCCGCGGCGGCCCTCCATCGGACAGTAGGGCTGCCCTCCTCTGACCCTTTGCAAACCACAGGACCCCCGGAGACTTCAAAAGGGCCGACAGAGAGCAGGAGAACAGAGAGGGGAGAAAAACAGCAGGAATTAAAGACAGCAGGTGATGATGTGGTGAAAAAGAAATGAGCTGAGAGAGGATTCCCAACAGCTTTCATCCCCAGAAGCTACAGGACATTTAATAAAGAAGGGGAGACCTGGGTTGTGATCCTTTCTAAGAGACACGAAAACTAAACCTTAACTGAAAATGTTTGGTTTTTCTTCCTCAACACTTGTTTTGAATCGTCTGAAAGTCACTATCTGTTTTGATGAGTTGTAGTTTGTGTATGTAAAAATATGATCTGTGGAGTCATCGTATTAAAACACGTTGTTAGTGAGTACTTTAGTTGGTGTGATATTGGTGGAATATTACTTCTAGCAAAGGAATTATCACTTCAAGTCAGTGATGGTTAGAAACTATCTTCACACATTTGGGTCAAATGTGAGTTTGCTGGCACATTTGTTATTGATGTAAAACCATTTATAAAACCTTTAAAGCGTTCTTCCTCACCGCTCATATACTTTGTTGAAACATCTGGAAATCACTTGCTGTTTTGGTGAATGGAAGGTTTTAGTTTTTATAGTATCATAATACTGAAAATATGGTAGTTCTAATGAATCACCAACGTTTTGATATAAGAATATGAAGTCTGTGATGGCAGCTGGCTAGCAAAATGTCAACAGATATTCAGGACTAATGTGAGTTGGACCAGGGTTGTTTAGCTCATGGGTTATTGATGTATAGCTGTAGACATATTTACTTCTTTGGAGACATCCCTAAGAAGTAAAAAATACCCCAATGGGGAAGTTATTAACGGCTAATAATGTTAACAAGTGTCTAAATGAGACGAGCAAACAGCATCGTGCCCAACATTAGCCGCATTTAGCATAGCGGTGGAGACGCTATTTACGCTTTACATGTGTTTTATATGTGGAGATACTCCTTATGAACGGACCGTTTAAGTATCATAAACGTAGGTTTGCCACAGAGCTTATATTCTTCAATTTCCCAAAATCCAATGGAAAAATCCCATTAGGCGCTTTCACACCGCCGTACTTTTACCCGTACTTTTATCGTTTAGTTGCGTTAGTGCCTGGAATTTTGCGTTCACACCAAAAAGAGAACTTAGTTCAGATAACTTTTACCCCCATGTTTAGTGCCTGCTAGAGAGGTGGGACTATCCTGGGGAGAAAAAAGTATCAATTTCTGATTGGCTGGGCGAATTGCAAACCACGCCCCGTAACACTCTGAAAAGTTTTTTGAAGCCGCCATTGTATTTGCTTGCATTAGCATTATTAGCATTAGTCCCAGCAGCTTCTACTAAAGCCAGTCCCCAACTCCGGGGACTTCCGGCCGGGGACTTCGGGTGGCAGTATACGCCGTGAAGTGGTTTGCGGCCTGCCAGTAAACCCAAAGCAGAAGAAGAAGAAGTGACGTCAGCGGCTTCATTTGCGTAATCTTCCCTCAGGGATTTATTCCGGTGTGAACGCGATCGGCTCTTTAGTTCCATGGGGGCACTAAGTGCTGGGAACTAAGTGCTGGGAACTAAGTGCTGGGAACTAAGTGCTGGGAACTAAGTGCTGGGAACTAAGTGCTGGGCACTAAGTGCTGGGAACTAAGTACGGCAAAGTACTTGGTGTGAAAGCGGCTATTGGATATTTGTCGAGCGAACCAGGGAGATGCTATACTTTAAAGGTCGACATATAAAAATCCATCAACCCTGCATCACTCTACACTGAAAAAATTGAAAGCTAATACAATTATCTATAATCTGTTGACATGATACATTTAATTAAAGTCAATGTTTCAATGTTTTATGGATAAAAAATGAAGATTAAGAAAGCTTAAAGGTTGAAAATAGCTCAAATCCAATAGGAGCGACTGCAACAGGCTGCATGCACGTTTACAACACTTTCAAAACTTGTGTTTGCTTTTCTCTGAATCTGAAACCCTCCTCTTGTGTCTCCTCCTCGTCGCACACTGCCCAGCTTTTGCATGTTAGCCACAGATTCAGTTTGAGCCATTTTGGCAAAAGTAAAAAGAATGTGAAGGACGCCTATAAACTGTGTTCTCTCCCCCCCCCCCCCCCCCCCCCAAAGGCCCCGAGCCCCATGTGAAGAATAACTGTTGACTTGTTCTTGGCATCGTGCACGTTCATATTCTCCCTGTGTGACCTCTTTATGATTAAGTAACGCAGGGCACTTTTTAAAGAACTCCCTCCATCCCCATCGTGTCCTTCGGAGGATGCAATCTCAAATCATTTAGTGGGATCAGCCAAAATGTAAATCTCATTGAAACAGGGAATAAAACGCTGTGATTTGAAACAGTATTAAATACTTCTGGGGACAGGCAGCAGTGGTTTAGTTTTCCATGGAGCATCATTCATGTCCTGCATGCACCACATGGGTTTA